CTTCTTCTGAAATAAATTTTGGCAGATTATGAAAGGGCTTCTGGGCAACAAGTCAATTTTTCTAAATCTTCTATTTTTTTCTCAACTAAATTAACTAATGCCCCAGGTTTAGTATGTTGTTCTATTAGCCGATCCTTGGGTTTGCAAATGCAGGGGATGCTTGGTCGGTATCTTGGTGTTCCCGCTATTTTGGGTCATTCCAAAAGAGATGTGTTTCAGTTTTTACTGATTAAAATTTAGGACAGGTTATCTTTTTGGAAGGCGAAGTCTTTGTCCATGGGTGGGAAAGAAGTATTAATTAAGGCCATTTTAAGTGTTTTACCTACGTATGTTATGTCTTCTTTTAAGCTTCCCACTACATTGTGTCAAGATTTGATGAAACATATTCGTTCCTTTTGGTAGTGTAATAAAGATAAAAATCGGGCAATTCATTGGCTTAATTGGGATTTTCTTTGCCGGAGCAAGAAGTCGGGTGGCCTTGGCTTTCGTGATTTGGAGGCTTTTAATTTAGTGCTTTTAGTGAAGCATGCTTGGCATTTTCAGGTTCAGAAGCAAAGTTTGTTGTATCAGATTTTTAAGGCTAAGTATTTTCCAGGCTCGTCCTTTTTGGATGCTTCTTTGGGCTCTAATCCTTCCTTGGGCTGGCGTAGTATTTGGTCTTCTCAAAATTTATTGAGGTAGGGCTTATGCTCATTGATTGGGAATGGCACTTCAACGCATATTTGGGACGATTATTGGGTCCTTACGTTTGCACGAAAATTTTCCCCAACTCAAGCTTTTGTTCCATACTCTTATGCGGCGGAGTTGATTGATTCTGATACGTCTTCATGGAAAATGGATGTTTTGTCTCAATTATTTCCTCCTTTTATGATGCAGGAAATTCTTAAAATTCACATAAGTCGTTGGGATAAACCACATGTAGTCATTTGGGCTCCGGAGCTGTCGGGTAAATTTTCAGTGCGGTCTGCTTATAAATTGGCTGTTTCAATGTCTCATTTTTCTGGGATTCCATTTCATTCTAGTGCTTGGTCTTCTATTTGGCGGTGTCGTACTCTATCTAAGGTGCAACACTTTCTTTAAAGATGTTATCGTCATGCTTTGCCAATTCGGGTTGCTTTGTTGGCTCGCAGGTGTACTCTCTAGCCTATTTTTCCTCGTTGTGGTCATTCCCTTCAGGTGTGGAAGTTTTCTCCGCTGCATTTGGATTTTTCAGGTCGTTCTTTCTTTTCTTTACGGATTGGCTGGAGTTTTCTGCTGCGTCGGGCTATGCTCTCTTCGGACTTTGAGGATGTACTTAGTTTGATTTCTTTTTGTGTTTGGGGCATTTGGAAAGCAAGGAATCGGTTAGCCTTTGAAGGGATCTTATGGAGACCGGAGATTGTGGCTCAAAAAGCAGTAGTCAGTTTTTGGGAATTCAAAGATGCTCGGTTTCTCTGCTCCTCCTTACAGCCAGGGCCCTCAATCACTTCAGTGGATTCTTGGTGTCCTCCCCCATCTGGTATTGTCAAATGTAATTTTAATGCTTCATTTTGTCGGAAGTCGTTGTTGGGTTTCCGTGATTTTAAAGGTGATGTTCTTCAAGCAGTTATTTTTTGTCCGTTTTTCGCTTCTTCTTCTTTGTAGGCGGAATCTATGGTATGTCAACGTGCTCCGCTTTGTGCTTTTGAATTAGGTTTCTCTTGCTTATGGTTTGAATTGGATGCCAAAGCTGCTATGGATGGGGTGTTGTGTGGTGAGTCTTGCCCAGCGAAAATTGCTTCTATTTGTTTTGATATCAATCGAGATCTTTGGTGATTTTCTTCTACTACTCTGACTTATGTTCGTCGCCAAGGTAATAAGGTGGCTCATGCTTTAGCTGCTCTTTCACGTCCTGGGCTTGGATCGGATCAGTTTTTGCTGTCTCTTCTTCATTTCATTGTGCGTTTTGCTGAGGCGGATGTGAAGTGTTAGTTGTTTTTGTGTTGTTTTTGTTTTTGCTGTCTTGTATGTCTTTGCCAGGAAAAAAAAAAAAAAAAAAAAAAAGCAATATAATATATATTAAAAAAAAATGATTACAAAACCAATGTTTGTATATGAGCATTGTCTTGTCCATTTAAAATTATTACATTATCTATTTAAATCTATTGCACTGTAAGACCAAAATTGTGTGTCAGTATTAATAAAAATTTGTAGTAAAATCTAACACATTAGAAAGAGAGTAGTGGAGAATTTGTAGTAAAGTCTACTGATTTCTACATTACATAGACAGAAACTGTTATACTTCTAGATCTTCGATTGCATCCTCGGATCATCTGACCTTGCACGAGGTACATATATGCATATGTTTATACACACATATATCACACGGGCGAAGTGCAGGAAATATCCCCAAAGTATACTCTGCATATTAATTTTACCCTTATTTTAAAAAGTGTATAAAAAACACCCCTAATGTTTTCAAATTGTGCAAAAATACCCCTTAATAAAAAAATCTGACATAAATTAGTGTTGTAATGCTCATTTTGCTCTTTTGTTCTTTCGAAAATGCCCAAGAAAGTATATGCTACTACTCTCATATATGGGTGTTATGTGCACATTACCTTATATATATATATATTTTTGAAACTTTTTTCTCTATATATATTTCTAAACTTTTTTTAAAAAAAAACTTTAAGAATTTACAGAATAAGGATTTGAATTTCTTGATGTTTTAGTTTAGTGTTTTCTATTAAATTTCTTTTTCTTTATTTTTTATTTTATTTTCTTACCAACACTGTTAAAAAAATAAAAAAAATCCCAATATCATTGTGCACTAGTTTTTTCAGCTTAGAGCAGATTTGTTTTCTTTAGTTTGCACTTTATTTTTATTTTTTATTTTTATCTTTACTTTTCTTTATATTTATATTTATATTTAATTTAATTTTAGTATCTTCTAAATCGCCCCAAGTCAGTTGAGGCGATTAGGTCAATTCCGGTGATAACAAGCCTCTGCAAAAGGCGAACCAGCTATTGGAGTGGTTCAATTTGGTGGTCTGGTGGGCGTGGCGGTGGCTGGGTGAAAGACGACGGCAAATCCCAAGCACTATGGGCTCGGCGAGCAGCTTGTCCATCCCTTTGGGATAACGGTAAGAGTCTCTCCCTCACCGATGATGTAATTCTCGAAAGTACGAAGTTTTAACTACAACATTTGATGCGTTAGTTTTGTTCAGTTTTAGTCTCGTGTAATGGCTACCGATGCTGTGGTCCCTTACTCCTATAAGCATATATGTCTTGACTCGTGTGACTAATGTTTGTGATGTATGAATACCAATCATATATAATCCCTCCGTCCCACAAAAAATGTCCGTCTTTAACTATTGTATTCTATGCATTGCTGCCAACTCCATCCATAACACAGATCTCTCAACAAGCCCAAGAGAATAACTTTTTAATCCTTTGATTTCGTAAAATAATCAATGATTCAACCAATGAAGGAATTCTCTTGGGCTTGTTGAGAGATCTGTGTTATGATGGAGTTGGCATCAATGCATAGAATACAATAGCTATTTGGTAACAAGTCATCAATGGTTTGTAACAAATTGGAGTTTGCAGCAATACTGGAATGATAGGATACAATAACTAAATGGTACGAGTAATCAATTGATCCGTGAAAAATTGGTTATATTTTTTAAACTTCAAGGAAGTGAAATTGGAAACAATCATCTTTCCCTGTAAATTTTGTTTCAAGAGCGGTTTTTAGCTTCAAAAGTTATATTTTTGAATGGAACAAAAGCACCAATTTCCTACCCTTGTCATTCTTTTTTAACTTTGCTGCTTCCTTGAATAAGGGATTGATAATATCTTAAAATCCTTTTTTATTTCAATGTTTCTTAAACTTGGTTAATCAAAAGTAAATTCAAGTGCCAAAATTCTATGCCATCTTAATAGAATAGAACATATAGCTTGTGAACACTGACACACTGGTAAAAATGAAGAGTGCTGAAGAGAGGGGTTTTTTTTTTTTTTTTTTTTTTTTTTTTTTTTCAGTTTGGAGTGCCTTGGTAAAACACAGCTGGGGGCATCGTAGGAGGAGAGGGAGGAGAGAAAAAAAAAAAAAGTTTAATAAGGGTAGACGTGTCAATAAAGGACATTAAATTCCAAAAGGTCGCTTATTAACAAACAATTATTAAACTAAAATACGTAGAAAGTGGAATTCTATCCGGATTAGGGACAAAAAAGGGAAAGAAAAGAAGAGGAATTAGGATTTCCAAATATTGCTCTCTATAACTAGGGTTGATTTCTTCATGGACTTGAAACCATAATTTACTGTTTTTTTTTTGTTAATTTGCTCATCTTAATTTTCTTCTTTTGTACGATATTCCTCGGCTGGTAGGATTGAGCACCCCGCATGGACATGGCTAATAATATTAATCCAGTAGTCCCTTGGTCCGACCTTCCACAAGAACTGGTGGAGTTGATCATGGCACATGTCACCACAACCTTCGATCTTCTACGATGTCGCGGTGTATGTCATTCATGGCGATCTGCTGTACTGAACGTGCTATCACTCGGCGTTACTTCTACTACTCCGTTACTACTCCTCTACAATAGGCTTGACCTATGCAATTCTCCCGCCAAACTCTTGTGTCTTGGTAAAAACACCACCACCAAGTATAGGCTCCGTTCACCCAACATGAAGAGGTTGTCGTACAAGGATGGTGTGATATTCAATAGGACTTCTCCCGATTTGGTAAAGTCCATGGAGAAGCACTGGATGGCAGACGACGAAGGCATCGAGGAGGAGGCTGATTCCGGCAATGGTGGTGGTGGTGGTGGTGGTGCAGTTCCCAAAAGGACTAGATGTATTGCTCCCTGTCGTGGATGGCTACTATTGTATCCTTATTATGAGAGTTCACTATATCTCTTCAATCCTCTTTCAAGAATGGTTGTCCATCTTCCACCGGCCGCCGGAATTAAAAATGGTCACTAATCCAGATGTGCTTAGATTCATCATATCATCCATTCCAACTGATCCAACTTGCATGGTCTACTTATATACCCCGAATCAGATTGCTGTTTATAAACTTGGTGACAGGAAATGGACGCCTGTTTTCGCTAGTAATCATCATGAATGGGTTTCCGTCATATTTTACCATGGTAACTTCTACTCGATTGATGAGCTTGGTGTGCTCCGACGTTTCTTGTTGGATAAATCTCATTCTAATTACAAGGAGGAAGAGGTATGCAATGGTACTTGTAATGTCAACCAATACAGGTACTTGGTGGAGGGGTCGTGGTCTGGTGAATTGTTGATGGTTGTGAGGATTTATGAACATCATATATGCAGAACCAAAACCAAGTCGTTTGAGATTTTTAAGTTAAATTGGGGTAATGGTAAATGGGAAGAGGTGAGTAATTTGGGTCATCGAGCTCTATTCTTGACTACTAATGATTCGAAATTCGTTTCAGTTAGATATAATCCTGAATATACACTCAATTCAATCTATTTCATTGAAGATACAAATACAAGGATGAAAGATTTCGGAGTGTATGATTTGGCAACACGCAACATAAAGCCATTACATCCATCTCAAAATCATATGCAACAAGCTGTATATTATCGTTGGTTTCAACCGGTCCCATAAACTAGCCCTATAATCTATATTGCTTAATGTGCGTCCTTTATTTATTTATTTTTCTTAAATGTAATATTTTATATACATACTCATTAAGTTTGATGTTTAGAATTCTTTTACGATTGATATTTTTCAATTTAAAATTTGGCATGTTTAATAACTACTTCTTCCAGTTTAAAATACTTATCCCAAAATATTTGTTCACCTCTGACAACTGTGACTCATCTCAAATATTTGTCCACCTCAACAATTAAGTATTATGTGTAGCCACTACTAGCCATAACAAGATTTGATTTGATTTGATTTATTATGTTTGTTTATGATATTAATCTCAATGAACTTTAATTTATTCTTCAGAGCCCAATTTGCTAAATGATGAGCATTTTCTTCTACCATAGGATCCAACAACGGTAGTAAATGGGCCTTTTGCAATAACCTCAGCGTCAACCTCACCTCAAAGATGGACCTTATCAAAAAAATTCCAATACGAAACTATTAACAAGGCCCAATAGGTTCGGTAAAAAAAAAAGTTTTGGGCCAAACAATGGAAAAGCACTATCACAGCAATTACTAAGGCCCATTTTAAATAACCCTAGTTTCGAAGCCCAAACGGCAATCGCATTGTTTTGTATGTATCTCGATTAATCTCACCAATTAGCTAGCATGCAAGGGAGAGTTTGGGAATCTGGGATATAGCCAGATATATAATATTAAAAAATTTGTTCAACTACAATTATTATTGGTTTGGATTTCAAATATTTTTTTCTTTTCGGTTGGTTATTTTGAATATTTTTTTCAATTTTCACCTCGTTACCAGAAGGGAAAATAAAAAAATTGAAAATAAAAATTCTAAGTTAAATAGATAATTGATTGAAGAATGTAAGAGTAAAAAAGACTGACGTATGACTTTTATGAATTTAGAAAGAAATAATATTTGGTGAGCCCTACAAAGAAAATAAATTATATTCATTTAATAAAAATGATTATTAAATTTAATAATATAATTATTTATATTCATTTATATTGTTTAAATTAAAAAAATACTTCAAGACTTCTTAGGTAGAAATAGAACTAACTATTAGAAATAAGAAAGCTTAAAAATCACCCCCCCCCCCCCCCCTCCAAAACAATATTTGGTGAGCCCTACAAAGAAAATAAATTATATTCATTTAATAAAAATGATGAATTATTAAATTTAATAATATAATTATTTATATTGTTTAAGTTAAAACAATACTTCAAGATTTCTTAGGTAGAAATAGAACTAACTATTAGAAATAAGAAAGCTTAAAACTACCCCCACCCCCCCCAAAAAAAAAAAAGTCATCTTTTACATGGTATAACTGAAAAAAAAAAAAAAAAAAAAAAACATGGTGCTTTTTCTTTCCTTCCATTAACTGAAAACTAAAATCAATGCATAACAGAGTATACATAATACCGTATTTATTTTGTTAAAATCAATAGTTCAGAAAATTTTGACTGTTAAAATGATTTGATATATTCAAAAGTAAACTAAAATCATTTCATAACAGAGTATAGATAATACCATATTTATTTTGTTAAAATCAATAGTCAGTGAAATTTTGACCGTTAAAATGACTTGATATATTCAAAAGTTATATGAATATTTGCTTTATAAACTTAGATTTATTGAACATGGGAACAAGTCATTTCCCTGGTTTGTGATTTTTTTTTTTTTTTTTTTTTTTTTTTGCTCGTTTTCTCCAATTTTGGAGAATTTTTGTGAGGGTAAAGGGGAAGCACCATTCTTGTATTGCGCATCCCATAAAGCATCCTTTTTCATATCCCTTTTCATATCCAACTTACCAATTTACCATACCTATATCCAAAACGTGTGAAAACTGATTTCACTCTATTGGCTTTTTGCACACATAAACATTATACGTGTTGTTTTCATTCGCGTATATAACTGATAGGAATATGCACTTTTATAAAGACAGAGAGAGGACCAGTTTTCTTTTTAGTAACTTTAATTCAACTTTCCATCAAAGTAAAGAATAAATTGGAAAACACTCTTCCAATAATTAATTACCATAAAGGTAATTTATAAGTTAACCAAATAATATAGTATTAATCTGATACTTATTTATTTAATCACTAATTAATGAAATATATCAATGTCCAAAACATATAGGCCACATAATTAATAAATAATCTTACATTCTCCCACTTGGCCCATATTATAACTTCTATAATGGTTTAGTAAAATAGTCAGTAGTGTGCACCATAAATCAGATTGACTCATTAAGTTGGTCATCATAAATACAATGGTAAATAAATTATCAATGCGAGTCATGGCGGTTATATGTCCCTAAATGACATAGTCCCTTCCATGTACCACAACACTTGTAACCTATTCAACATAACCTATAAATGAGAAGTATCAATAATGATCTAATAATAATATTTTTTCCAAAACTATTCCTATTACCACTTATTAAAGCAATATGTACATGTACATTAATTAATAGGAAATATCATAAACACATTTAATGAGCACAAAATGTCAAATATATATAAGCACTGTTAAACAATCCACAATTAAAAAATAATCAACATTGACTATATTCAAGACCCACTCTTTTATCATGTTCATAAATGTCTTGGGTGGTAGTCCATTCGTTAATGGATTGCAAACATAAATTGTGTGATTATATGTTCGATAGACATTCGTTGTTTATAAACATCTTCTTTAATGATAAAGTATTTCAACTTTATAATACCTATCATTTTAATACAAGAATATCAACAATTGCAGCATAAATTTTCAGTAATCTAAAAATGTTATCCATAACTCCAAGTCCTGAAATAAATTCTGCAACCATAAATTGTAGCCTCAAAGCATGTTACAAATTAAAAATTCATAATAGACAAAGTAATAATAAATTACTTTACATTTTTTCATAATATTGTTCTTCCAGCCAAAAGAAATAAATAACCAATTAAAAAATATCTTCCTAAATGTGAGCATATAATCTTTTATCCCATACTAACTTGTCTATATACCAAACTGCACAATATATGCATAAGGAATATTTTTCGTTTCTTTACCTTCTAATTAACTCATTCTTTGAGATTGCATTAGGCTGAATTTATCCCCTATGTATGGAATAATACTGGTTGAATAATGTTCCATACCAAATCTTTATAGAGCTCTTTCAATATATGTTTTCTGAGACAATCCTAAAAATCTACGTGATCTATCATGAAATATTTCTATTCCTATCACGTAGGATGTCCTATTCATATCTTTTATTTCAAAGTTATTAGAGATAACTTTTAGTTTCATATAATAATCTAAGATCACTACTAGCAAACAAAATAAAATATCATTAATATATAGAATCAGAAATATAAACTTACCCCCACTAACCTTCAAGTATATACATTGATCAACAGTGTTTTTTTTAAAATCAAAAGACATAATGGTATCATTAAACTTAATATACCATTGTCAGGAAGCTTGTTTAAATTCATATATTGACATTTTAAGTTTACAGACTATGTATTTTTTTACTATCTAATGTGAAGCCTTCGGGTTGTTCCATATAAAATCCCTCTTATAGACTCCCATTCATAAAAGTAGTATTTACATCCATTTGATATAACTTTAAATCATAATAAGTTACTAATGCCATGATATTTTAAAAGATTCCTTCTTAAATACTAGAGAAATTGTTTCTTTTTAATTTCTTCATTCATGGCACTAATCTATTTAGTAAAATCATTACTCTTAATGGTTTGTGAATATATAACTGAATCTGTATATATCTCACTATATATCAAAATCAGATTCTTGTAGATATATCACATAGTCATCCGAAATAGCAGATCTCTTTTCTCTTTGAAATCGTCTTAATGTTATTCCTTATGATTCATCTACAATCTATTCATTGGTGACAATCTCATTATGGAGTTGTTAATCATTCAATTGTTTTTCATTAATATATGGTTCAACAACTGAAGGAATAATTATTTCCTTAGAAATTATGAATAAATAAATTTATACCATAACTTCTTGAATGATACATTCTTATTTTTATCACTCTCACTGACTTGACCATTCTCAATGAATCTAACATTATCGGTTTCAATAATTATCGTACTATGTTTAGGATAGTAAAACTTGTACCCATTAGATTACTTAACATCCACAATATTATGAGTAACGAGGAATTACTTAACATACTCCTAACCATATCCAATTACGCCTTTCAGCTACATGCTTTTGCTATGGCATATATAACAAAGTGTATTGAGCACAAATGCCATACATTTCAAGGAGTTTAGCAAACGGTTAGAGTATTAACCCGTTTCATCATACTTTCCATAATATTTACCACCTCTATATGACTTTATGATTTTCACTTTTCTATCTAGTTGTTTTTCAATCTCATTTATGTATACTTCAAGAGTACCCACTGCTTGAGATTTTTCATGCAACAAATAGATATATCCATAACGTGAAAAATTAACTATAAAGGTAATAAAAAAAATAGTTTTCTCTACCAAAAGATGGAACATCAAAAGGTCTACAAATGTCTGTATGAATAATTTCAAAAAGCCTTATACTTATTGTGGCTCATTTCTTTGTGTGTTTGGTTTGTTTACCCTTAATATAATCTACACATACATCAAAATCAGTAAAGTTTAGATTCAGAAGAATTGCATCCTGTACTAATTTTCCTAATCTTTCATTAGATATTGACCTAGTCTTTTATGTTACAAGAAAGATAAATTTTCTATTAATTGGGTTACGCTTAATTCTAACATCATGATACAAGATCAAAAGGTTTTTGATAAATAAACTATCAAGTCTAAATTTACAGAAATCATCAACAACAATACCATAACTAACAAATTAGAATTTATTGAATAAACATCATTATTAAATTTAAATGAAAAACCATTAACATAAAGTTTTTGAAATAAAATCAAATTATGGGAAATTGAATAAACATAAAAAGTTTAAAATTATTTAAATAAAA